CAAATTCGGAATTAATTTTGGCCGGCATTACACATACAAATGATCGATATTGTTTTTTGCCATATCAGATATAACATAATTAAGACGTCATATACTCTACCCTTAAAATTCATTAAGATTATACAGTATATTTCTTTGCGTTAGTATTTAGAAATAATTTAATTCAAACAGGTTCAACCAAACGGGTTGGATTTTTGCCTAAAACCAGTTTTTTCGAAAATAAAACCGGTTTCAACCTAAAATTTACAATCGATCAACAAAGTTTATTTTACCTTAAATATTTCTCATAATCGCATGATATTCCAATTAAATTAATTAAATTCATCTTCCTTTTTTGATCAAATCGAAATGATCTTGCATTATAAATAATGTCATTTTCCCACTCGTTGGTTTTTTTACGCAGAATAATATTATGGTTGATAACAAAGTGATGAAAATACACAGACAATGGCATTCAATCTTAGGTGAAAAAATATCTTTGATTGAATCCTACCATTATGTTAAGCTTAGTAAAATTTTTCCACTTCCAAAATTACCGGCTTCTAGAAAATATGAGACTGTAATCGAAGTTCTTCCTTTCATCCGGCAGAAAGTTAAGATGTGGGGAGCTGATGTTCTTAGAGCAGAAAATATTAAAACATTGATCGAGGAAGAAGATGAGGAGTTTTTTGATGTAGAATCAATGGACGAGGACCAGGATTTTCGGCAATATAAAAATAAATTGTCTCGATTCGATTGCATTGCTAGTTTGCTTGCCTCTTCTGAAAGTATCGTAGCTCAGGACATTTTTCGAATTTTATCACAATTTCCAATTGCATTTCCCTTGATAATACCTGGATTAGTTGATGCGGATACATTTAAAGTGATGCTTCCTTTGCTTATCGGCCCGGTGATCAAATGGGAAACGAAACCTGGAACGATAATTGAAAACCACCTTTTCAGTGATCCGTTCAAAATGATTGTCACCGTCCGGATAGGAGAAAACTCTCCGGGAAAAAGCACGATTCTTAATCAGTTGATGACTTCAGATTCTATGTTTTCTTCAAGCTGTGAGCCAAGAGCAGAATATGGGATTCCACATATGGTCAGTGGGAGCGTCGAGTTTACTTGGTTAACCCAAGAAACTTGTGGCGTGGGTCTATGGAATGATGTATTTGAAAATTACTACAAGGAAGGGGCAAAAGAAATTGTGTTGCTTGCAAATTTACATGGCGATGCCTTGGATTATCCGAATCAAATTCGATTTTTAAAGCAATTTCCATCTAGTTTCTTGGTTTTTTTAATGCCTGGGTATACTGACGACCAAGTTGATAAATTTGAGAACATAGTTGGTTTCAATAAAGTTGTATATTGCTGGGTGAATCACAAGAAGAAAAAGTATGCAATCGATACCAAACTATTAATGAAAGATCAAACGTTAAAAAAAGTGCGTCTAATGTTCAAAGATGCCTTAGATTTTACTTCATCATTCAACGCTAATAGTTTAAAGCTGGGAGATACACTTCATTTTGCTGAAGGTATCGAACTTCCAGAGTCTCAGCTTTTGATAAAATTTGTTGAAGATAAAACTTGTCGTCATATTAAGTTAAAAGTTATGCAGCTTCAAAGAAAGCAACCCGACAACGGTCTTCAAATTTGGCAAGTTAACGTTGAATTGCAAGGTCTAATATTTTTGTATATTGACATTCTAAATCTACCTCTCGGGAAAAGAATGCGAGCTCTAGCACACCTTGAAAGAGAAGTATCCAGGCTCTCTATGATAGAATCCTCTGAAGCTCGGAATAAGGCTGTATTGAAAAGAGAAGAATTACTAAAATCCAGTTTAGTCAATAGGAATCAAGGAAGTGAGGAAAGAATTCGAAGAGAAATTGCAAAAATTTGGGAAGAAGTTGATAATATGAGTTTAGGTATGGAGCACTTTTTCCGCGAATTGGGTAGAATCTATGGCATTTTTTCCGTTCATGATCAATCGCACGATATTGTTGTGAAGATGCCAAAACTTTATGCTGAACTGCTGATTAGCGGTCACGCTATAGAGTTGCTTGATGGTGACGCTGGCGCTATATCTGAAGCCTGGTTCTCGGCCATTTGTCACTGCATTTATGAAAAATTTCCTAAGCTTCGAATTTTCGTGATCAGCATTCTTGGTCTACAATCATCAGGAAAGTCAACTCTCTTGAACGCCCTTTTTGCATGTAGATTTGCAGTTTCTGTCGGGCGTTGTACTAGAGGTCTATTTATGCGACTGTTATTCTTGGAAAAAAATTTATCAGATCAACTCGGTGTTGACGCATTTGTCTTGATTGATACTGAAGGTCTTGGTGCGCCAGAAAAGATGGATGATCCGGAATCAGAAAAGAAAGACCGTATCTTAGCAACTTTTGCAATGGGTGTAAGCAATTTAACCATTCTCAATGTACTTGGAGAATCGACTCGAGAATTAACTGAGATCTTGCAGATAGCAATTGTGACAATGGCTCGTCTTGAAAAAACTGAGATGACACCTGACATTCTTATGGTACAACATGTATCTGAACGTAATGTTGCAAAATTGTCGGAGCCTGAAGCAAAATTCCGAATAGCTCTGCAAGAGGCTTTGAAAGTGGTCGAAGAACAAGACATTGAAATGGGAATTTTAAATTCAAATTGTCTTCATATTCTTGATGAAAGAATTAAAAAAGGTCAGCTACTTAAACAATTTCGACCATTTAAAAATGGTGCAACTGCTTATGCCCCACCTTCAGAGCAATATCACGAGGATGTTGTCAATTTATATGAATCTATACTTGCTGATTGTAAAAATTCACGAAGAAAAATTGAATTTTCTGAATGGAATTCATTAATTCAAGGTTATTGGCGAGCAGTTTCCCTTGAAAATTTTGCTGTTCATTTCAAGAATATAAAAGTAATTTATGAATTTATTGATCTTGGCAAACTAATCACCAAGACGAAAGAAGTCATTAGTCGGGCGTTCCTAAAGCATGAGGAAAAGATTATGCAAGAAATTCGATCCAAGTTTCAGAATTGGTCTCCTGATGACAGGGCAAACGAAAATTTACGTCTCCGAAATGAATGTTTGAAGTTGATTGAATCGGGGCTAGAAGATGTACTAAATTGTGATAATAACTCCAATTGTGAAGAATGTAAAAAGGCAAATAAAGAAAGGGTTGAACTGGAAGATTACCTTAAGGAGAAAAATAATGAAAAAACTGAAACGGAAACTAAACAAACCATTGAAAATTATATCAAACTTAATCGTCAATCTGTATCTGATAAACTTACTCGAATGCTTTCAGCCATCATTATCCGAAAAGGTCTGTCATCTGAATCTCTTGAAATAATCAACATGCATTTAGAAAATTTCATAATAAATATGCCAAGTAGAGGTTTGCCTGATCATGAGCGTAAACGAAACATTGAAGAATTATGGAATGCACTGCGGTCTAATATATCATCAAAAGATAAGGCTACACCGGTAGAGAGACTAATAGATGATGAGATCAAATATTATTATAATCTATTGCCAAATGATCTTCATAATAAATACAAAAATGTAATCTGTCCAGATTTATCTAAGTGTAGAGCATATAAATTTTGGAGCCATAAGTTACTCTCTCAATATTTGGAAGAGAAAGACATCCATGATCTTCAAGGAAAGCTTGATACTTTAGCCGATCTAATCTACAAAGATAAAACTTCTCAACATATTTATCCTGGAATTGTAAATGATCTCAAAAAAGTAATAGACATGACGATCGTCAATTTTCAAAAAACTCGTAGCAACTTTGAGTCTGATTTCAAATGGAATGTTCATTTATATGCTTTGTTAAAGTTTAAACCAAAAATGAAGAAATTTCAAGACGACTGGGAAAAGGAAAATAGTCCACTTGGCATACTTGATCAAAAGAAAGAAGAGTACTTAAAGATCATTGATACTCAGCTTCAATATGGACATTCGCTTGTTTCTGAGGGTCATACTGTTGGAGACTATTTATTGAGAGTTATTCATAAAAAAGCAATGAAGGCGGGGAACTCTGAACGTGTAAGAGCGGTCAATGACATAGCTTGGATGACTAATTCAGAAACAGTTAGACTCAAATATTTTGTGGAACTTGCCGAACAAGTTCAAAAAGGTGATAAAGAAGCAGCTATATCTCACTTTTTAAGTCCTGAATTATCTATAAAAAATTGGTTTGTACGTACCGTTAATAGAAATAAAAGTGGAAACCCAGTACGAAAATACAAAGAGACATTTAATGCAGAATTCGAACGAGTTCTTCAGGAAATTTGTAACTGTAAAAATTTTGAGGAAATCAAAGTTTACGTAAATAATTATATGACACAAGTTGATAAAGTGGACTATAAGTTGGATCTTAAGCATACCCTAATTAAAGACGGAAGCTTCAAATTATTCCAACGTATAATCAAGAAAGAGCTTGAAAATAAAGGGGATGGACGTTATTCAAACCCCGAACCTTTTCAAGACCCATCTGACGATAAATCAATTATGAAAAGACTCGGATGTACGGAGACATGTTATTGGTGCGGGGCTTTGTGCTGGGGATCTCGAGACCATCATGAAAATAGCGACATGACGAAAGTTCATCATACTAGCCATCAACCCCGTGGTCTTTCTGGAAAAAAAAATAAAGCTACACTTGAGCTTAGGGCAGTGCCATGTCATAAAATGACGGATGATTTGTATGTGTGGTATCATGGTAAGATGTATGCAACTACATGGGGTAACGCAAAAGCTCGAGATTTTTCAGATTGGAAATTCGAAGCTCACTGCAATGGAGTTTTTAATGACCTTATGTGCTGGTTTTTTGAAAAGTTGCATCATAATTTGGCAGCTAAATGGGATTGTAAACCAGCACCTTCTAAGGAAATGAGAGATCACGGTTGTCTATTCTTGAATTATTATAGTATTATTAGCACTATCAGAACCAAATTGTAACATATGTAGAATTTTCCGTATATCTTCAAATTTGTCAATATTTGATTTAGATTCATGTATTCGTTAGTAATTCTCATCCATATGTATATCACAAATAATTAATGATCAATAATTATTATAAATTGGCACGTGATTTTAATAAATAATTTATTGAACGTTATTGCAAAAAAGGATTCACAGGAAAATGTTTACCCTGGTCTTCGAGTTAGGAATTTGAGTTAAATCATCACTTTCGAGGCATATTTCGTGTTTTTTTATATCCAAATGCTTTCGTATTAGAAAAAAATAAACATTCAATACCTCAGAATTTGATTCTTTGATCGTATTTTATAGGGTATGTATGGAAACCTTAATTACATGTTATATCTGATATGGCAAAAAACAATATCGATCATTTGTATGTGTAATGCCGGCCAAAATTAATTCCGAATTTG